TATATATATATACCTTCAGGTAGGCCTATGTTTTACATTTACATTATATATATATACGTTCAGATAGGCCTATGTTTTACATTTACATTTTATATATATATACCTTCAGGTAGGCCTATGTTTTACATTTACATTATATATATATATATATATACCTTCAGGTAGGCCTATGTTTTACATTTACATTATATATATATATATATATGTTGTTGTTGATAAACATTTAACATATAATTATTTGTATCCTCGCCAAAAAAAGTTATTTGCATAAATAAGGAGAGCAATATATACAAAAGAGAGTACGTATTATTTCTTACATTGTAAATTTCATTATTATGCTAACGCAACATACCAATCATTTTACTATCAATATTGGATCCGAGCCAATTCTCGTGATTATCGAGATGAATTGACAATTGATCGTTATATCATCAAATTATGTACTGACCAATGATAAAGTGATGTCCCAGTTGTCGTGGTCGGATGCCGCAGCCATTTACCAGGTGCCGGAGTTCGATTCCCCGATCGGGCGTGGACAATTTTGGGGTCACCTGCCCGCCCACGTGATTTTTCTCTGGATACTCCAGTTTCCACCCTCACTAATTATGTAAGACCCCTCGCGCTAACATCCGGGCTAACACGAGTGATTAATAAAAGTTAAAAAAAAGGTGTTACATAGTTGTTGTAAAATAAATAAAGCCTATAAACATGTATATCAATCGCTAGAAATACGATGTATAATGAAACATCTGTAGTAACCGTGTAACCAGAACAAAAGAACTAGAGTGCACAGCACAGTAGAACTAGACTGCACAGACAGTAGAACTAGACTGCACAACACAGTAGAACTAGACTGCACAACACAGTAGAACTAGACTGCACAGCACAGTAGAACTAGCCTTCACAGCACAGTAGAACTTGACTGCACAGTACAGTAGAACTAGACTGCACAGACAGTAGAACTAGACTGCACAGCACAGTAGAACTAGACTGCACAACACAGTAGAACTAGCCTTCACAGCACAGTAGAACTTGACTGAACAGTACAGTAGAACTAGACTGCACAGCACAGTAGAACTAGACTGCATAGCACAGTAGAACTTGACTGCACAACACAGTAGAACTAGACTGCACAGCACAGTCGAACTAGACTGCACAGCACAGAAGAACTAGCCTTCACAGCACAGTAGAACTAGATTGCACAACACAGTAGAACTAGACTACACATCACAGTAGAACTAGACTGCACCGCACAGTAGAACTAGACTGCAAATCACAGTAGAACTAGACTGCAAATCACAGTAGAACTAGACTGCAGAGCACAGTAGAACTAGACTGCAAAACAAAGTAGAACTAGACTGCACAGTGCAGTAGAACTAGACTGCACAGTATAGTAGAACTAGACTGCACAACATAGTAGAACTAGACTGCACAACATAGTAGAACTAGACTGCACAACACAATAGAACTAGACTGCAAAACACAGCAGAACTAGACTGCACAGCACAAGACTGCACAGCACAGTAGAATTAGACTGCACATCACAGTAGAACTACACTGCACAGCACAGTAGAACTAGACGGCACAGACAGTAGAACTAGACTTCACAGGACAGGAGAACTAGACTGCACAGCACAAGACTGCACAGCACAGTAGAATTAGACTGCACATCACAGTAGAACTACACTGCACAGCACAGTAGAACTATACTGCACAGCATAGTAGAACTTGACTTCACAGCACAGTAGAACTAGATTGCACAACACAGTAGAACTAGCCTGCACAGCACAGTCGAACTAGACTGCATAGCACAGTAGAACTAGACTGCATAGCACAGTAGAACTTGACTGCCCAACACAGTAGAACTAGACTGCAAGACACAGTAGAACTAGACTGCAAGACACAGTAGAACTAGACTGCAAAGCATAGTAGAACTAGACTGCACAACATAAACATGTATATCAATCGCTAGAAATACGATGTATAATGAAACATCTGTAGTAACCGTGTAACCAGAACAAAAGAACTAGAGTGCACAGCACAGTAGAACTAGACTACACATCACAGTAGAACTAGACTGCATAGCACAGTAGAACTAGACTGCAAGACACAGTAGAACTAGACTGCAAGACACAGTAGAACTAGACTGCAAAGCACAGTAGAACTAGACTGCACCGCACAGTAGAACTAGACTGCACCGCACAGTAGAACTAGACTGCAGAGCATAGTAGAACTAGACTGCACAGAACAGTAGAACCAGACTGCACAGCATAGTAGTACTAGACTGCACAGCACAGTCGAACTAGACTGCATAGCACAGTAGAACTAGACTGCAAAGCACAGTAGAACTAGACTGCAAGACACAGTAGAACTAGACTGCAAGACACAGTAGAACTAGACTGCAAGACACAGTAGAACTAGACTGCAAAACAAAGTAGAACTAGACTGCACAGTATAGTAGAACTAGACTGCACAGCAAAGTAGAACTAGACTGCACAGAACAGTAGAACCAGACTGCACAGCACAGTAGAACTATACTGCACAGCACAGTAGAACTTGACTGCACAGTACAGTAGAACCAGACTGCGCAGCATAGTAGAACTAGACTGCACAACATAGTAGAACTAGACTGCACAGCAAAGTAGAACTAGACTGCACAACATAGTAGAACTAGACTGCACAGACCGTAGAACTAGACTTCACAGCACATTAGAACTAGACTGCACAGTGCAGTACAACTAGACTGCACAGCACAGTCGAACTAGACTGCATAGCACAGTAGAACTAGACTGCACCGCACAGTAGAACTAGACTGCACCGCACAGTAGAACTAGACTGCAAGACACAGTAGAACTAGACTGCAAATCACAGTAGAACTAGACTGCACCGCACAGTAGAACTAGACTGCAAAACAAAGTAGAACTAGACTGCACAGTGCAGTAGAACTAGACTGCGCAGCACAGTAGAACTAGACTGCAAGACACAGTAGAACTAGACTGCAAATCACAGTAGAACTAGACTGCAAAACAAAGTAGAACTAGACTGCACAACACAGTAGAACTTGACTGCACAGCACAGTAGAACCAACATTCACAGCACAGTAGAACTAGACTGCACAGCACAGTAGAATTAGACTGCACATCACAGTAGAACTAGACTGCACAGCACAGTAGAACTTGACTGCACAGCACAGTAGAACTTGACTGCACAGCACAGTTAATCCTTAATATTACACAGTAGAACTAGACTGCACATCACAGTAGAACTAGCCTGCACAGCACAGTAGAACTAGCATTCACATCACAGTAGAACTAGACTGCACAGCACAGTAGAACTAGACTGCACAGCACAGTTAATCCTTAATATTACGTATAGATAGAAAGTAGCAGAAACGAAAGATGTCTATAAAATACTTTCTATATAACGTTTCAAATGTACAACATATGTGACCGCAGCAGATAAATTATCTTTAAACTAGTATTTTTTGTGAGCAATGTCAGAATAAAGACCAGATTAAAATCCGGTCTATATAACGTTTCAGATTTACAACATGTTACCGCAGCAGTACATCATCTTTAAACTAGTAACTTATATGAATCATACCAGAAGAAAGACTATCTTAAAATCCGGTCTATATAACGTTTCAGATTTACAACATGTTACCGCAGCAGTACATCATCTTTAAACTAGTAACTTATATAAATCATACCAGAAGAAAGTCCAGATATTATCTTTCATCTTAAGTTTCTATTCTAAATATCCGTAACCAAGTTTCTCCAAACAAGGCTTCGAAAAGGTTGGTTGCAGTGGCATACAATAATAACTGGTGATTCCATTTTAATATAAACCTAACCTACAAAACACTTATTGTTTATCGAATTTCGAAAAACAAGTTTGTCAACGTTTTTCAAAAAAGTCAGTGCTGACGCGCGATGTCTTAGATAAAGAGACGTCTTACTTTTATCTGTGCATGTATATGACCTAAAATACGAACCAATCAAATAACATGTAGCATACAGATTAAGGACTTTTTTCTTAAATATTCAATCAGCACAGAAGTAAACTTGTTTTTACTAGTGTTATGTAAGCCGTAAAGAGCGCGAATAAGCACATTTACTATATGCACTCGAAATGCCTTCAATGTTTCTATCAAAGCACGTCTGCTTTCGCTAGGTGTGAACAGTGCCGACTACATACATATGCCAACTAGAACGTCTCCGACAAGGAAGATGAGTAGCGGTGTTGTCAACGGCAGACAGACGACACCTTTCACCATGGTTACCACACTTCTACACCTGATGGTCATCTTGTCCCAGCTTTTACATTGTCTGGGATTTAGTTATGACCAGGCGTCAAATCACGGTATGTTCATTTTTTTTTACTGAATTGATTTGTTGTACTCCTGCTACAAAAATGAATACGCCCTTGTTAAGCTACTTAAAATGAAATGATACTAGAAAAACATAAAAAGGAACATCCTTGATACTCCAGGGGTTACGCTTACAAAAGTTCTCTACACTCCTGGAATAAGTCAGAGCATATTCGAAGGATCATTGTGGATAAGACAAGAAGACTAATTTGATCCTTTGATGTACATCAAAAGAATCTCCCAGTCGCCTTACGGTAAATGACTGGAATTGTAGTCAGGTGCCCCCTTTGTAACCTTCAAAGGACAGGTATTTAGTGTGGGTTTTTTACATGAGACCAATCCAATAACTAGCCGCGTGCCTTCAATTTTGCTATGACATATTTCAGGGATGCCGAGAGCGAAAGTGAGCGTAACTCATAGAGTATCAAGTATGGCAAAGGAAGCACCTGTGTAAAATGTAGTAACTCGATGCATCGTAGCAAATAATAGTAAATATCTACTGATAAGTCAGTTAACAAATGCTAATGTAGCAGGACTAGGCCGGGTAACTGTCGCATTTCAGATAGCTCAATTAGTAGCTAGAGATTTCTCTGGCCATGACACCAGACTTCGACACTTTGAAAAATAGATGTCTGATGTGGGATCAATCTGTTTAAATGTCTGGTGTCATGGCTAGAGGTAACCCGGACTACTCAATTGGTTAAATGTCTGGTGTCATGGCTAGAGGTAACCCGGACTACTCAATTGGTTAAAGAGTCCGTCTAGGGTTCAGAGGTCTCAGGTTTGGAATCAGGTCAGGACAGTGGTGACTGTAATCAACTATTGTCTGTAGTTGTGTGTTTGGTATCAGGTCAGGACAGTGGTGACTGTAATCAACTATTGTCTGAAGTAGCGTGTGTTTGGTATCAGGTCACGACAGTGGTGACTGTAATCAACTATTGTCTGTAGTAGCGTGTGTTTGGAATCAGGTCAGGACAGTGGTGACTGTAATCAACTATTGTCTGTAGTAGCGTGTTTTTGGCAAGAAGATATATGAACTTGGGTTTTAAATAGTGTTGTCTTCGGGGGCTAACATTAAGAAAATGGAGGGAAGTTTGAGGACGTCATGGATGGGTGACTGTTCATAGGTTGACGGTCGGTTAAGAGCTCGAAGGTGCTGGGTTCGATTACCGGTGTGGTCATGTTGCATTCTTGCTTTCATTTTTTAACATAGAAATGACGGCTACAAAGACACGTTCACATACACACGTATTCTCAACTGCACCCGCGTACACAATATAACCTATTTTAATTACTTTTATCGTAGGATGTATATTCTCATGTCTGTTTTGCCAGTAGTTTTGAAATGTATGGTTTGAATACAAACGGGAACACGTTTTGATTTATGTGTAGCAATGCATATGATGAATGACAATTGTTGTCAATTGCAGACAAGGTAATGGCTTCGCACCATGACCACGTTCCCACTTGTGTTGTCAGCCATCTTGTTTATGAACTGTAGACTAAAAACGCCCATTAATCACTATATATCAAGTATATTTAGAGATCGTTTTATTGCATTGTTGAAAATATTAACTTGTTTGTTTACTATTTCTTCCAACCTGAGGTTATTAACATTTAAATGTTTTCTACGTCTACTTGTTCTCTACCTGAACTTTAAATCATACCTGTATAGCTTTTGCGAATATATTTCATTGTAAACAACTCGGATTTCGCGTTTCAAAACGTCTTAGAATCAGTGTATATGTAGGAGCCTGGTGTTGGAACAATCTTTAGTCAAAAATATCTCTTATCGGGGAACTGTAAAACAGCACATAGGAAAGAAATAAAACCTTTCAACGGATTTGAGGTGAAAACGTCATATCAAACGATCTCATTAAAGACTGAATTGATCAAATTCATTGCCTTGCCTTGCCATTTGATACACCTGCTGTTGATGGGATCCTGTCACCACCCATATAATGTGTTTATATGAATATCCTTCATAAATTCATAAATGTCTCATTTTGTACTGTTGTGTATATTGGTAAAATATAGAAGAATTTGTTTATTTTCTGTTTAAGGTCCTAGCAGATGGGGATCATTTAATAAAATGATCACTTCATGCAAAACTGGAAGTCAACAAAGCCCTGTCATGATCACAACCAATACGGCAAAGAGAATACCGATTACAGACCTGTCTTACAACCGAACGCATCCAATAATGGGCGTGTTCAGGAATAACGGTAATAAGTTGCTCTTGCCAAAGAGATTATTTCTACAGGTTTTATTCAATAATGAATAGCGGTTTAAATTCGCAGGTTCAGTATTCGCGTTTTCGTTTCCGGAAATTTTCGCGGGGGATACATTTCGCTGTACACACATGTCTCCTCATATAGGAATATATTTAGTGAACTTTCGTCTACTCGAGTTAATTAAAATGTACTTTAAATTCACGTATTTGTATTCAGTTATGTTCCGATCGGGTAGCAATACCGTTACCTCTCCATAACGTCAGTGGTGTGCTAATTCGCTTGTGTTTAGAATGCTCGGGTTTTACTTAAAACGCGAATATAGCGGAAAAAAAACCTCGCGAAATGTTACCGCCTTGCAGTCACAATTCAGTGTTTCATTTCATACAACTAACACGTGCTGGATTTATTTCCTCAAATTTTTACCGGTATTTCATTCCATTATATCAGTTCTCTACGTCACATATTTATAGTTTCTTTATATAATCTACTATATGTAGCAGCTGATATATCTATATTATTTGCTGAAATTTCATTTGATTCTTTGTTTAATGATATGAAATAAGAGCTCAGCACGGATTTATTTAATTTTCAACTCTTTTTCACCCTTTTGGCTTAGTTATACATGTATTTGTGACTTTTCCCTACACTTTTTGCAACAAGATATGTGTCCTCGGAGACGGTATCCGATCCAGCAATGTCATTACCATAATACGTTTGGGTACGAAGAGTATCCTTTTGTTGTTTCACTGTACCCGGAATCCGCATTTTTTACCCAGACGCTGTCACCATTTCTGAGATCAGATTGGTGCGAGACGGTGCCTTCGTCTACCACTCTTTTTCTGGGCCGCCTCTTTTTCCCCTCGGCAACCAGTCGCAACTCTGAAACTCTACACAGGGTTCTAAATTTGATAGATGAACAGACAATTTCATTTAGAGGTTTTTATTCATCAGCAGTTCATATGAGATCTTGCCAAAATCTTCGTCATTTCTGTGACATCATGTTATGTTACTAACAAAAGAACACATCCGTAGAATTCAGCTGTGAATTATTTGTTCACATGAATTTTCCCGTCGTCTCGATCTCACGTCATATCCTACTATCGTGCGATAGTTGTAATGTAAAGTCTTTTCTATAGCAGCTATCATATAAAATAACATCGCATTTTCATTAGTCTTTTATGACGTCACAATATATGACATATTCACCAAATATGTTACGTTTATGTAATAATTACGTGTATTTATTTATCATATTTTAAACTCCTTATTCGGACCTATATTGCAGGGCACGCTCCTCAATTCATACCAGACACTGGATCTAACAACGAACTCATTCTGAAGAACGTACCAGAGCTTGTACCGAATGATTTTGTCTTTTGTGATCTCCATTTCCATATTGGTGCTAGCAGTAATAATGGCCCAGAGCACATACTATCGAACCACGCGAATATTTCTGGAGAGGTAACTACCGTATACCGTGAGCAGCTCGCCCAGTCAAACTTTCACCAATTGCTGGTTAAATCTGTATTCGCCCTATGTCTCTTTTTTTCCAAAGTGAGTTTTAAAATAGCTAGATATTCGTATTTGTCAAAATATTTCTTTTGTAATTTAATCACTAGGTTCACCTTGTCCACTGGAAGAGAGATGGACACACACCTACTCTATCGGCCGCGCTACGGGATCCCAATGGACTTGCAGTCGTCGCTCTTTTCTTCAATGTGTGTTGCTATTTAGCATTTAGATGTCGTGTTCCTTAATCTTTTAACAATAAATAAACATTAAAGAAAGCAAATCAAATCCTTTTCGCCGTCCACTTCATTAATTTTTGAATCCAAAAGCAAGCCCGCACTATTTCAAAATAGTGCGCAAAACGGTTGTTTTCGACTAGACTAGGTGGTATAGGACTAGTAGTTAGCGCTTGAAAAGGTAGCTCATGCGAATTCTTCAAAAATTGTATTGATTAATGTATATGCTAATTGTGTTAATTGTATATCTATGTACTGTAAAGCGCTTTAGAGTGGCGGATGTTAGCTAGATAGGGCGCTATATCAAATGTATGTCATTATTATTATTAAACTAGGGCTTGAGTTAAAGTTAAAGGGAAGCAACGTTTGACGAAATCTTGATAAATATTACACTCATCACTCGTTGAAAAAGAAAGTTACGTAATTTGACAAAGCTCCTTTTACCTTGTAAAGGTGATAGAAGACTGCCAAGGAGAAACGGATAGAATCATTCAGCAATACGTATCTCGTATCAAGGATGTAGACGAAACCAGTGAGTACCTAAGCTCTAGATAATATTCTAAATCAATCAGTCAAAAAAAAACTTTATTTATTTTACAACAGATGTGAAACAAGTTCTTTGTTATCTTACATTAATCACTCTTGTACGCGCAAGAGTTTCATATGGGAGGAAACCTGGATAAAACCCACGTGATTGGGCAGGTGCCTAGATACATTTTCACGTGCTTTAAAGTGATTAATAAAATGTATATAAATATATATATATATATATGTAGTCTTACAGCGTTTCTAAATTTAAATCCAATGGGACGGCAGCTTGTTTTACGTTAATGTACATAAATAAGCGATTGGATCGATTCTTTGTCGTGAAAGGAAGAATTCAAGAATCTTATTTTATGAAACTTGATAAGTTGTTTGCTTCCTTTGGAGAACACATGATTGAACAATTTACTTTTGTTGATTTACAGAACAAGGTTACATAAACCCCGTCCGCCTCTATCCCAACAGACGTTACTACACCTATCGAGGGTCGTTGACCACGCCACCGTGTAGTGAAATTGTCCGATGGATCTTGTTTGAGACGCCCATCACCATCTGCCGTAAGGTAACACATTATTATGCTTATATTCAACAGATAAATGAGTCTTATTGAAACCGTGATATCAACACCAGCAACAGCGTCAACGGCTGTTTTATTTTGTATAATCGCACCGCCTTATGGTTTTGGGGTCATGGTGGCCGAGTGGTTAATTAAGGCGTCTGACCATCTACTAGCACTAACCCTCAACCACTAGGTTGTTGGATCGATGTCTACCTGGGGCTGTCGCCAGGTAATGTCCTCAGGTCACTGATTTTTCTCCGGGCACTCCAGTTTCCCTCCAGAATTTGGCACGTCTGTAAATGGCCTTAGCTGTTAATATGACGTAGAACACCAACCAAAACAAACCTTATTTTGATTTAAACATATTTTGCAAAAAATACAAAAGGGATTAGACACATGTTATAAAATTTGAAGTTCGCCTTCTCCCTTAAAGCAATATCCATATGGCTGCACAGTAGAAAATATTGATAACTGTAAATTTAGATGATTCAAAGGAAACATGAAGAAGATAAAACGTACCATATACAGATCTTATAGATTATTTTTGTATTGAATGTACCCTTACATGTCTCAGTAACCTGTATATAATATAAACATACGCTGTACCCTTACATGTCTCAGTAACCTGTATATAATATAAACATACGCTGTAACATTACTATAAACAATCTGTAGTTTTTATTTCATATTGAAACTTCTGTCAGTGATGCATATCATATAGTCACTAAAACAATATTAAATTTAATAATTTAAAATTAGCTTCGAAATCAACCTGCCTGTTTCAACACCGTAGAAGCTTCATGACGCAGCAGACCGCATCACACAATGGTCACATCCTTGAAGCTTCTTTGAAACGCAACGCACCGCACCGCACCACAAACCTTATATCAATTATTGTCTCGCTTAACGTTTGATTTTTTGTAATGTTCTAATTCAACAGTTTAAATGGACATTAAATATTTATCAAATAAAACTCAACATACTGTGTGCTCAGAATACAAATAATTACAGCTAGCGCTATGATGTAATTTCGTTTTTATCATATATTTTTAACAAAGCAAAAACAATAGACACATGCAGAAAATGATGGTACGATAGCGGGCGCCACTATCCTTCAAGGATTTCTTGTCTTTTTTATGTGTCTAGCTAAACTAATTTTCTCTTCTTTTTCCAGTCGTTTAAAATCTTGCAGAACATGGAAACGGATGAGGAAGGAAGTGTGGCCCTCAGTGTATTTGGAAATGTCCGTCCTGTTCAACGTAGAGATGTAACCGGTCTGAAGAAGAATTTTTAGTTTAATTTACCATGGAAAAAGGCTCGGGAATATTTGTCCTCTTTATTGTGACGTCATCCGCTTTGCTAAATATATTTGTCAATTATCAGTGGAGCGGGTACCATTCTAGTGGCATCAACCCGGACTGGTGCTACATGTGTCATAAGGTTTTAGCATGTGGTATTTTCCTTGAATAAAAAAGTACTTTTTACCAGTGGACTAAACGAGACATGGTCCTTTCAATGTGTTGCATACATGGTGTATGTGTTCATTCTCTTTGATGGAATATCCGCAACTGACTGTTTCATGTATAAGTACCTTGATATTCCGTCTCTGTATGTTTTTTTTTTACATTTTGTGTTGCACTTCTACAATCCAGAAATAAAATTTAAAAAAAAGAAAACCCTGTTGGAGTCATAACAATATTAAGAGAAAAACTATAGTACTGCAGTTCCTACGAAAATGGTACATTGAACCAATACAAGAGGCCCATTGGCTCTAATAGCTCACCTGGTATTTTATTTTTCAATTTAACCATACAGGTTTATCAAAGGAGTTCAATAAACAAAGCTGCAAGAAGAACTACATATAAATCTGTTTTGATGGGAAAGACACCAAGAAAATGAGTTTCAAGTTTTTTATACAAATTAAACAGATTTGTTTCCCCCCTAAGCATGCTTCAGACCACATTTGGTTTAAATCCCTTCATTTGTACAGAAGGGAAAATATTTTTCTCTATTTCCCCTATTGGGCCCCACTCCTCTGCACCTGGGGGGGGGCACATCTTCCATTTATAAATATTAAATTTCCTTTGGCCGAAGATTCTCTAGAACAAGTCTTCTCTATTTCCCCTAATGGGCCCCACCTATCTGCCCCAAAGAATGGGGCCACACGCCTCAGTTTATACAAAATTGAGGCTCCTTTGGCCAATGAAGCTCCAGACGAAATTTGGTCAAAATCCCTCCATCGGTACAAAAGAAAAAGGATCTTTAATGTTTTCCTCTATTTCGCCTAATGGGCCCTACCCATCTGCCCCAAAAAAGGGGCCCACATACCTCAGTTTATACAAAATTGATTCTTTTGTCCCAAAGCATGCTTCAGACAGCATTTGGTTTAAATCCCTTCACTTGTTTAGTAGGACAATTTTTTTTTATCTATTTCCCCTATTGGGCCCCGCCCCTCTGCCCACAGAGAGGCCACACCCTCCGTTTATACAAACTTGAGGCTCCTTTGTCTAAAGAGGCTCTAGAACAAATTTGGTCAAAACCTTCTATTGGTTGAGAAGAAGAAGATTTTTAAAGATTTACCTGTTTTCCCCCTATTTGGCCCTTCCCTCTGCCCCCAGCGGGATCATATCCTCCGTTTATACAAAACTGAGATCCCTTTGGCCAATGATGCTCCAGGCCAAATTTGGTCAAAATCCTCTAAGCAGTTAAGGACTAGTAGCGTTTTAAAGGGAAAAGTTGACGGACGACGGACGCTGGGCCATACACAGTTAAAATGGAATAGAGATTTATTTATTAAAAGACCCAAGCAAGTAGCATTTTTTATGTTCAGATTTTTCGCCGTTAAGTCCTTTTTACCTCAACAGTGATTATGGGCCAAATAAAAGATCGTTTTATGGTTTCCATAGGTGTAAGACGGAATATGACACTCCATTGTTGAACATACCGTCATTCAACACAACTCATTCAAGTTGGTCGGATTCAGAATGTCATCTTCACAGTTACGACAATGGGACAAACACTACCTCACAGTGAAATGTCCGGCATGGCTGTTTGATCCTGAAGACAAAATTAGCAATATCTGATGTAAGTTAAGAGTTAACACATATGATGAACGTCACACATGAATGCATATTTTAAGTATTTTATCAAGTACAATTTTAATAGCTAACTAGACTGGCTACCATATGCTCAAATTGATAAAAATTATAAAACTTCTGATTGTTATTCTAAAAACATCAATATTCGAAGATTTCAAGATGTTTCCGATTTCAACAAAGACGTGCTATGCTATAATTTTTCACTACTGTAATCAGTTAAACTATAGAGAAATGATTTTATCTCATCGTCTTTTCATAAAAAAAAAACCCATCATGTTTCACGGGTAAATATTGTTTCAAACAAACTCTCTTGATCGTCATAATTAATATATTACAAATTTTCGCTAGAACATTTTTTTCGAATCATACAAAAAATGCGCTTTGATTTCCAATTGCTACTTATCTCTTAAATTTGTTGATACTTAATTATTTTTTTCGTTGTAGTATGATTTAGTTTGTGATAAAGCACTAATGAAATTTCATATTAACATGGCATTTTACTATGGGACGTTACTTGGTTCATTGATAGGTGGCGCATCAGCTGATTCGTAAGTAGTATGAAGGCTACGATTAGCATTCAACGAATTATGCATTCTATGGTGGGTAACTTCATGGTGGTAGTGTGTTACGTCCAGTATATGATTTCCCTTATGGCTGGAAGTTATGATCCTAGCATTGGATGATACGTAACATTAAACGTTGATTTACCTTGGTACACAAACAGTAAGCATCTTTTTTATTAGTGTATGAAATTGCTGACATAAAAGAAATAGTGTCATGCTTCTACTAGCTTTTCTAAGTTCAATCACCTGTGTGTGTCTTAATTTCATCTTTCGATTTACTGTTATTTATCTTTTAACTTTCACCGTTCAAATATATTTCCCTCGATGTATATCTATTACTTTTTTACACTATAATATATTAAACACGTATGAGATATAAAATTACCATTTCTAACATTATTACTATAGAAAATGAATGTATTTTTGTTCTCTTTATACAGATTTGGAAGGAACCCCATAACCTGTATCATACTGTTATTCATAAGCATATTACCTGGTCACCGAACGATTATACATACGCCATTCTCAGAGTTCTGGCTGATGTTTTTACATAATTTGTATATCAAATACTTATGAAGAAAAATAGAATCAGTATTTCAAACATTTTTAAAATACGTCATGGTTAATTACCATAAAAAATGAATGTCTTTTTATTCTCTTTATACAGATTTGGCAGAAAGCCCATAGCCTGTATCATACTAGTATTCATTAGCATACCTCACATATGCATTACCTGGTCACCGAACGATTATATATACGCCATTCTCAGATTTCTGGCTGTAGTTGGTTGAAACTATTAGGTATTTTTATTGAAATTTTCAAAAAAGTATGTTAGGAGATTACTATGGTTACCAAAGCAATACAGATAGATTTTTACAGTGTGATTCAATGTTTGTTTTGAAAACAATTTTCACACCGTATATTCGTGGATAATAGTCAAACGTAAGAAAAAAACGATTCTGGCGGAGTGATTCTACTTACTCTTAAAGTAGTGCTGAAAACAACATCATTTTTAGAGTACACCTAGAGCAACTGATCATTGTTTTCATCAGTTTCCCAATGTGCACTCTTAAAACGGTGTGTTTTCATCAAACGAAATTATTGTGAATGTTGGACGAGTGAGCAACACTTTTAAATGGATAACTGTGATCAGCTTCATCAACTTGACGTTACTAATCACACGCAAATACTTTCATTTGATAAACACCGTTCCAAAATTGTTCATTAAAACTTATAAATCTTTAGTTCTATAAATATTTTTCTGATATTCAAACCATCAAAAAGCATACCAACATAACTTTCTCCTTTTCATTTATCACATTTGTCGTCATCTTGAATTATCTATCGCTACCATTTAGTTATCGATATATACATCCCTTATATTTAAAAGAGAAAATTAATACGAAAGTATCTGAGATAACAAAGAGAGTCGTAAAGACTTTTATTTCGGATTTTGTCCCTGAAATTTTTGCATTCAGTTGTAGAGATGGTTGGACCAACATGGCGATCTTTCATCGTTAATATGCACCAGGTGACCTTTGCTGTCGGTGAAATTATTCTGTGTGGGCTAGCATATCTGATTCGTGACTGGAAAGCTCTACAATTGGTGATATCGTTACCTTCAATTGTGTGTCTATTCCATAGTTGGTAAGTACGTTCTATCGCTTAGACAAGCTAACAGCAGTAGCATATTTATTCCTAACTGTATATTGAATATATAACTATCATAATCGAATAATTGATAAACATAATATAAACTTTCTTTTTGCATGTTAAGTATAATATAAAGTAAAACATAACAATTTGATAAATGTCAGTTACAGAACAAGAAAAGTATGAATGATGATAATTTGTCTATCAAACAGAAACACGTCATATCATAACTAATAAGGGGCCGCAAATAAAGTGTTACCTTAACCTTATTTTCAATATCTAGAATAAAATCGCTATGTTTTTTTGTGGGTGGGTGTAATTAAGGTGACACACATTATTGCTCCAGATGGTAAATAGTTTAAAAACAAATCCCAATAGTACGTCTTAAATATTATACTCTCATGATCACGATTGAAAGAAATCAGAAATGCTATTTTTAATTCTAAATATACGTCAACTTGTTTTTTACCAGATAAATACACTATCTCGTACAAGAAGTGATGTTTGAGGACATTTGTGTGAAGTTTCATGACGACAATCGGATAAGAATGTCGCCAAATTCCATTAAAACTAGCAGTTACCTTTGTTTAATCCAAGATGGTTGAAACGTAAACCTTACAACACCTACAATATGTTTATGACAATCTGATCAAAAATGAAGTTTTCTGGTCAGAAAGGCCGATGATGAGACCAAAATGCACATAATGGCCATATGGTGCAGTTTGTGTTCTAGTAAATAATTTCTGTAGACCGATGATTGATCACTTCGAAGAGGATACGTTTGTACGTACATCGGTATTTTTGTACTTGCAATTCTCTGTATACCTCAACAACTCGTCGCTAGGGTAAAATAAAAGGCAAACAAAAATACCAAAACATTTATCGTTTTTTTCTAATTATCCTTAATTGATAAAGACTTTATTTATCCTTAGTTGATTCACAGTAATGTATACATTATATGTGTATTTGTCTCGGGTTTCAGGATGAAATGCTTGACATCAGTTTAGTGAACCGTTACCTGCATTTGTTTTCGGAATATCCTCATTGTCGGCAGGATTGCTTTGCTTGGCACTCCCTGAAATCTTACATCAAGGCTTACCTCAAACGATCAGTGACCTAAGTATCAAGACACCTAAACAAGTGAACAGAAACACGACCAGACATCCTATATGGACAACTGAACTGTGCTCTTCAAGTACATGTTGGTCCAAATCTGTAATACATTTGTATTTCTTTAAACTAATGTGACCAATCAGAAGTGAACAGATTCATGTGCGAAAATGCCCTATCTTCACAGCGGTCCGCCATGCATACGGCCTGTGGTCAACCATA